CCGCAGATCGAGGTAAGAGGGAGGGCTGGCCATGAGGCCGGCGGCCACCAGCCAAGCGCGGCACCTGTCACCCTCGCAGGGCGGGCGTGTTCCCGGGCCCTCTGACATCTGGGCGGCACTCACTGCCCCGGGTCTGGCACAGGAGTCCCGTGTGCCCAGGGCATATCAACACGGGAGACAAAGGTCCTGTTCAGAGGCAGAGCTGGTGCCTGGGTGACCCCCCTCTACCCGCTACCTCCGCCCAGAACCCCCTCCCAGGAAGGCCACAGTCTGAGGTGGGGGAGCGTTGGACTTCTCCAAACCTTTGGGGGCGGACACAGTTCAACCCAGGGCCGCCGGTTAAATGCTGCAGCTGAGAAGGGCTGATTTTCCTTGTGTGTCCACAGTGGGTCCTGCATGCTAAGGGCTCCATAGGCATCGTCTTGTTGAGGCCTCAGGACAACCCCACGAGCTGGGGTGTGAGCACCCCTACTTTACAGATGAGGAGGCTGAGGCTCAGAACTGCCCCAGGCCTCCCAGCTAGGATATAGTCCAGTTCATGGTCACAGCTCCCCAGCCTGCATGCTGAACCCCGTGCTGTTATGTCTGGGTTTGGTGAAAAGGGGGTGCAGGTGACCCCTACCTCCCGAGGCCTGACCTCTGGTGGTCGATCACAAAGCGCGTGCCCTCATCCGCAGGATACGCACGCGTGTTTACATGTCAGCTGTGTTTATGCTGCTCTCCCTCCAGAGACTCCCGTAGCCCTTCCAGGGAGGTTGTGAGTACTGCCTCCTCTGAGGAGCCTTCCAGGATTTCCCCACCCAGGAAATCCACTTCTGCCCTGAACACCCACTCGGTTGAAACTTTAGGAAAACACTCACTGTCAGCCTGGCTTGCAATTACCTGCCTGGGTTGGTCTTTGCTCTTCCTGTCCCAGCCCTGTGCCTCGCTCAGTGTCTCAGTAACATCATCAGGTAAAAATGGAAGGAGGCTGGCCTGCTGACAACAAGGCCCCTGGCCTCTAGGACCCTGGGCCTTACCCCAAACAACTGGCTAATCAGCAGGAGCCTGAGGCTTGGCAAGGGCTTAGGGCAGGAAGAGTGAGTGTAGCTGGGAATGTGGTCAGGGCAGGCTTCCTGGAGGAGGAGGCTGGGCAGAGGTCAGGCTGTGTGGGAGCAGCTGCCCATTACAAGGAGGCCTCTGAGTTCCGTTAGGTCCTCTCTGCCTGGTGAGCTCCTATGCATCAGGACTCCATTCAGGTGCCACCTCCTCTGGGGAGCCGTCCTGAATTCCCCCTGGTGGTGCTCCCATAGGCCCTTAGCCCCCTCAGAATGTCCTCCAGACCACCTGGGGGTGGCCCACTGCTGTTGGTGAAGGAATCACTGGGTAGAGGATCAGACTGGTTTGGTTGGGTTTGGCTGCAGTGAGGACAGTGGCAGTGGGAATGGAGAGACAGATTTCCAAGACATGCAGGTCGGGCGACAGCTTACTCTATGTTACAAACTAGAGGTCCGGTGCATGAAATTTGTGCACTGGGGGTGGGGTTCCCTCAGCCCAGCCTGTGCCCTCTCACAGTCCGGGAGCCCCGCGATGGATTGCCCCAAAGAGGTAGGCCCTGCTCACCTGGCTGGGGCTCCGTGCTGGGCCTCCCTTTTTGTTTGGAGGTTCTAGCAGGGGAGCGCAGCTACTCGTATACCCTTGACCGAAGACCGGTCCTCTCCTCGGGGGGGAAGGTCGTCCTCTTCGACCGAGCGCGCAGCTTCGGGAGGGACGCACATGGATCGGTGAGGGAGGAGGGGGACACCCGCCTAGCCAGCCAGATCAGCCGAATCAACCCTGGCGATCAATGGGGTGACAGATGTCGCAGCAAGATCGCCCTCACATCCTGGGCCTCCCTCTTTGGAGCAATCATGGAGCCCCCCAATTGATCGATCGCCCTGCTGGCTGGTGGCCTAGGCCTCCCTCTGCAGGGCAATCATGGGGCGATGGCCAGGCCCCCGACCAATCGCATCGCACCTGTCTTGGCTGGCCTGGCGCCAGTGGGTGTCATAGTGAAGTCGTCCAGATGGACGTTCCACTGTTCGGCATTGGGTCGATCTGCATATTACGCTTTTATTATTATAGATACTTGCTGAGCATCTGCTGATGAGGGTGCTCAGCTTTGATAATAAGATGGGTGTGTGGGGTGAGAGGAATCCAGTTGACCCTGAAATTCAGGCCTCCCTCGCGCATTCCTGCCGGCCTGTTTCTTAGGTTTGCTGCTGCCTCAGAGCCCGGGCAGTCGCAGCAAACAGGTGCGCTCCCGGCGCGGGTGCCAGGCTCCGCTGCCCGTCCTGCCCGTGGCTGACACAGCCTGTCTCTGCAGGCGGCCCTGGCCGAGAGCTCCCGCCTGAAGCAGCAGCTGACCATGCTGCCGCTGAAGACAGACCTGCTGGGCAGCGTCTTCGGCCAGGACAGAGCCACGGCCCTCCTGGAGCAGGTGACGAGCTCCGTGCGGGACAGGGACCTGCTCCACAACAGCCTCCTGCAGAGGAAAAGCAAGCTGCAGGTGAGCGCTGCCGCTGTCGGTGGCGGGGCTGCTGAGGTCGCACCCTTCCCGGCAGGCGGCCCGCATTCAGACCTGAGCCCCAGCACGTGCACTGTGCGCCCTGCGCACATCCCTTTGCCCCCAACCTAGGGCTCCTCGTCTATCGACTGGGGGGTGATTGTGTGGTTGTTCTGACTGGTCTCCTGGCTGCCTCTCTGCCCCTGATCCTGCCCTCCAGCCCCCTCGCTGCACTGCAGTCACTGAACTGCCTTCCGCAGAGACTGGGGTGTCCAATGAGAAAATGCAGAAAAAAAATGTAAGTTTTTGACACCTGGTGAACTGGAAGCTGTTATTATTAGGGACACGTTTCCAAATGACTGCACTGAATCAAAGATGCAATGTGGCATGCTGCAGACAGTTTATGCTCTGCTGCAATGTTTGCTGAGCCTCTGATGGTGATGGTGGTGGTGGTGATGATGATGGTGATGATGGTGGTGATGGTGGTGATGATGGAGGTGATAATGGTGATGACGGTGATGGTGATGGTGATGATGGTAATGATGATGGTGGTGATGGTGATGATGGTAATGATGATGGTGATAATGGTGATGATGGTGATGATGATGGTGGTAATGATGGTGATGATGGTGATGGTGGTGGTGGTGGTGATGATGGAGGTGATAATGGTGATGGTGGTGATGGTGGTGATGATGATTGATGATGGCGGTGGTGGTGATGATGGTGATGGTGATGATGATGGTGATGATGGTGATGATGATGACGGTGATGATGGTGGTGATGGTGGTGATAATGGTGATGGTGGTGATGATGGTGATGATGGTGGATGATGATGGTGATGATGGTGATGGTGATGATGATGATGGTGATGATGGTGATGGTGATGATGATGATGGTGATGATGGTGATGGTGATGATGATGATGGTGATGATGGTGATGGTGATGATGATGATGGTGATGATGGTGATGGTGATGATGATGATGGTGATGATGGTGATGGTGATGATGATGATGGTGATGATGGTGATGGTGATGATGATGATGGTGATGATGGTGATGGTGATGATGATGATGGTGATGATGGTGATGGTGATGACAGTGATGATGATGGGGATGATGGTGATGGATATGATGGTGGTGATGGTGACAGTGATGGTGATGATGGTGATGATGATGGGGATGATGGTGATGATGATGACGGTGATGATGGTGGTGATGATGGTGGTGATAATGGTGATGGTGATGATGGTGATGGTGGTAATGGTGATGGTGATGATGGTGATGATGGTGGTGATGGTGATGGTGGTGATGGTGGTGATGATGGTGGTGATAACTGTGGTCTATGAGGCACTGACAGGGCCGGGCACATGCAGAGAACTGCACATCTGTGATATCACTCACCCCAGTAACGAACATTCTAGGGTTCGCAAGGCAGACGCTCTCTGCCGCAGCTCTCAACTCTGCCACTGCGGCAAGAGAGCAGCTGCAAAGGAGTGGGCATGGCTGTGTCCCAATAAAACTTTATTAACAAACAGACCTCTGGGGGGACTAGGGGTGTGTGGTAGAGATGTAGTCTGCCGACCTCTGTGCAGTGGGCAGAGGAGCTGTATGTGAGGGTGCTATAGTGACTCTGGGGAGGGGCGCTCAACCCCCTCAAGAGCTCTGGGAAGGCTTCCTGGAGGCGGTGCCGCCTGAGTGAGCGTGAGCGGCCCTGGAGAAAGCAGCTGGGCTGGGAGGAAAGTGCCTCACTTGTATGCTGCCTGTTCTTTGTCCCCAGAGCCTGCTTGCTCAGCACAAAGACTTTGGGGCTGCCATTGAGCCCCTGCAGAGGACGCTCTCGGACCTCCAGACCAGGGCCCTAGCCGAGAATGGGCTTCAGCGGGACCTTCCTGGGAAACAGGCCCAGCTGTCAAGGCTGCAGGTGAGGGGTCTGTGGGGCCCGAGTCACCTCTTCAGGTGCTCAGCGCACCAGGAGGCAGCCCCTCCTTAGAAACCGGCCAAGCAGCGCCGGCCCCAGCCGCACACTTAGACCCTCGCTGAGCCCTGACCTTTCACCTCGGCTGACTTCCTGGGGGTTCCTGGCCTCGCGGGGCCCTCAGCGCCTCCAGACTGCTGACTCTCCAGCTTCCAAGACGATAAGCGGCCTTTCTGCTTACTCCGCGGTTCCAAAGTCCCACACTGGCTGTGCTTTTAAAGTTGCTTTGCTAAGTGTTCCTGTGAGTGCAGAGGCCCCCAGTTAAATAAACCTACGGGCTCTGAGAAGGAACGTTCTGAACCACACAGGGACGTCCCTCGGCGCTGGTTGACCGTTGTCGCTGGGTGAGGAGCTGCTGGCTCCTAACGAGCATCTTTTAACCCAAGCACAGCTCATGTGCAAGTGCGAGTGCTCTTGGGAAGGTGTTACAAGTGGTGCGTGTGGGGCTTTCCAGCCAGAGCTGGGGTGGATTCTTCATAACGCGGCTGGCCGTCAGCAAGAGTGCAGATGGGAGTTTGTCCCCCATGTATTCTCATGGCGCCTCAGAATATTCCCATCGCATTACAACTCTCACCGGTCCTGAGAGTGGGCCGTCAGATGGCCATGAGGTGCAGCCGCAGGAGTTGGGGAGCCCCACCCTCCGAGACCCTCCACCGTGTCCCACTCAGAGTCCCCCCACCCTGATCAGCACCCCTGCAAGAGGCAGGAAGGACAGCCCCCTCATTGCTTCCTCTGCTGCAGGGGCTGCAGGAAGAGGGGCTGGACCTGGGCGTGCAGGTGGAGGCCACCAGGCCTTTCATCCAGGGGAACCCCAACCACCAGCACAGAATGGACCAGCTTTCCACCGACTGCCAGGCCCTGCAGCGGTCCCTGGAGGTAAGGGCCGTGCAGACACCGGCCTGGACCTGACCCTCCCCCAGTCTCCCCTCTTCTTCCTCCCTCCGGCCAGCGCTTCTTTTCCTTTCTCTTGTCCTTCTTCCCTCCCTCACCTACTCAGCAGACCATCATTGAGTGCCTCCTGTATGCCAGGCAGTGATCGGGGCCCTGGACAAGGGCAGCTGAACCAGCGGGCAAGGCCCCTGTTCTCCCGGGTGACGTTCCAGGGGGTAGATGGACAGAGTGGGCAGCCAACAAGTAAACGCACAATTCCACCTGGGCCGGGGCCAAAGAGCAGGGCAACGCGCAGGTGCTCCCCGAAGCCCAGCGGGCAGTGGCCCACACGTTTGCTGCCTTAGGGTGAGGTTGAAAGGTGCACCTGGTGGCCTGGCGCCGTGCCTGCAGTGCCCTCTAGTGGCCGCCTGGGTCATTCTGGTGCTACGTAGGGTTGACTCCCTTGTGAGCGGTGGGAACGGAGATTGAGGTCCTTCAACATCCCCCTGAGGACACGTTCCAATGCGGGCTGCAGCCACCCCCTGACCCCGATTTGTCACCTGGGCCCCAGGAGCGCACAGCGGCCCTCAGGCTGCCTCACTCAGGAAAACAGTCTGAGGGTTCCCCACCCCACGGCTGACATGCCCTTAATAACAAGTGCTCCTAACAGCCTCCTCGCAGTCCTGAGACTCACAGATAGTGTCAGCAGCCACACCACTTAACACTTTAACATAATGCCCTTTCTACAGTAGAAAATATAAATAAAAGGAAAGTAATTATTAGAAAAAATAATGTCTTTCAAAATGTAAGTGGTCGCGGTGGCCACACCACGGCGGGAGGAGGCGGGCGGTGCACCCTCCCCAGGGAGCGGCCTCCGGTGCCTCCAGCCGCGAGGTTTTCTGGGAGGCGAACAACCCCGAGTGCGGTCCTCCATCCGCTTACGGAGCGGCCGCATTCCCTGCGCAGTCCGCGGGGTCGTTAAAGCTGCCAACGTCTCTTTGTGTTTGTGTGGTAACTGGAGGCAGATTCTAAGCTCAGGCCCCAATAAACATGGGTGTGGGCGGGGCCCGAGAAGACCCTGTGGGATGTGGGCTGTGCTCCCCACGCCCCACACTCCACTGTCTCTGCTGGCACCCACCCCGTCACCAGCAGGGCAACCCAAACCCCCATGAGTTTCGGGAAATACAGCTCTACCCATCTAGACCCCCCGGTCTGCATGAGGGCTGAGGTCTAGATGAATTCATTTCACTCCGTTTGCTAAGTTAGCAGCTACTGGTCCCCAGGTTGAGGCAGAGGGCGTAAGGGAAATAAGAACCACTGACCCCACCCTTTAGGTGCCACAGAGCCCATCGATGCAGCAAACTTCAGCTTTATAATTTAAAAAACACGTGTTTTTATTGATTTCAGCAAGAGTTAGGGAGAGGGAGGGAGGGAGAGAAACATCAATGATGAGCGAGAATCATCCATCGGCTGCCTCCTGCACGGCCCCTACTGGGGATTGAGCCTGCAACACAGGTGTGTGTCCTGACAGGGAATCAAAACGTGACCTCCTGGTTCCTGGGTCGATGCTCACCCACGGAGCCATGCCGGCTGGGCAGCAAACCTCAGCTTTCATGCCCACAGCCAGTAATGGGCTCAGGCCTCGCCATATTTTTATTCAGTTTGGGGTCCACCCATAGCCCTTAGGCAGGCAATTCCAGGATCAGGCAGACTATCTTATCAGTAAGGATTTACATGGCTATCTGGTGGGGAAGTTGCCTCAGCTACCATTGTCTCGACTAAACGGTGGGTGCACAGCCCTGACCTTTGCCAGGGCTCAAGGGTCACCAGCCTTCCGGCTCCTTGTCCACACCTCTCTGCCAGTGAAGGCAATGGGCGGCTTCCCACACTTCCTCTTGGTGAAGAGTGTTTGCTTTGCTGGGTGTGCACCCAGGGGCGAAAGGGTCGAGTCCCAGGGCTGCCATGTTCCGGGTAGGAGCTGTGGACCCACCATTTTCACAAGTGGCTGTGCCGATGCACCCACACGGGGTGGACAGGAGATCCGGTTGCCCCAGACTCCGAGCGGGAAAGCGAGACAGGCTCGGAGCCCTTTTCGCCAGAATCTGTCTTCGGGGCCCATGCCTTGCACCATGTAGAGGGAGGACCCGTGCCCTGGTCCCTGCTGGGTCAGGGGCCCTAAAGGGGAGCACACCCCGGGGCCCGGGCAGGCCTGGGGCCCAGGTCTCGGCCTCAGCCAGCACTCAGGCGCCCTGGACCCGGCTGTGCCGCAGGACCTGGTGGACGGCAGCCAGCGGAGCACACGGGAGCACTGCGCCTTCAGCCATGAGCTCCTGCAGCTGCAGCAGTGGGTGGCCGTGGTCACGCAGAAGCTGGAGTCCTACCTGGGGGACACGGGCCCCTGGGATGCCCAGGCCCGCGAGGCCGAAGTCCAGGTGAGATGGCTTTCCCTGCGGAGATGGTGCATCCCCCAGGCGGGTCGGGAGGCCAAAGCACCCACACTGGGAGCGGAGACCGCCAGGACTCACTGTGTGTGTGTGTGTGTGTGTGTGTGTGTGTGTGTGTGTGTACACAGGGGCTGCTGGCTGAATTCCCCGAGAAGGAGGCCCAGCTGCCCCTGGTCGAAGCGCACGGCCGGCTGGTGATGGAAAAGTCCTCCCCGGAAGGGGCTGCCGAGGTCCAGGAGGAGCTGGCGGAGCTGGCGGGGGCGTGGCGGGCCCTGAGGCTGCTGGAGCAAAGCCTGCTGAGGTGAGGGGCCTCCTGGCCCTCGGCCTGGTCTGGGACATCACCCCTTCCCACAGGGCGGAGCTCAGTGGTGCTGTGGGACAGGGGCCGGGGTTCTGCCTGTGGCAGGCGTGGCACCAGGGGCCTGGGCATCTCCTGTCTGGCCCAGCTGGCATTCCGGCAGGTCCAGAGGAGCAGGGAGCTGCCCCGGCTGGGAGTGAGCCTCCAGCCCACCCGCCCGGGCTCGGGCCGCACCTCCATCACTGGTCACCTGCACCCCACCCCCGTCACCGTGAGGGGTCTCAGCACCCCCATCACTGGGCACCTGCACCCCACCCCCATCACCGTGAGGGGTCTCAGCACCCCCATCACTGGGCACCTGCACCCCCATCACCATGAGGGGTCTCGTCTCAGCACCCCCATCACTGGGCTCCTGCCCCCCACCCCCGTCACCGTGAGGGGTCTCAGCACCCCCATCACTGGGCTCCTGCCCCCCACCCCCGTCACCGTGAGGGGTCTCAGCACCCCCATCACTGGGCTCCTGCCCCCCACCCCCGTCACCGTGAGGGGTCTCAGCACCCCCATCACTGGGCTCCTGCCCCCCACCCCCGTCACCGTGAGGGGTCTCAGCACCCCCATCACTGGGCACCTGCTCCCCCATCCCCGTGAGGGGGTCTCAGCACCCCCATCACTGGGCACCTGCTCCCCCATCACCGTGAGGGGATCTCAGCACCCCCATCACTGGGGACCTGCTCCCCCATCACTGTGAGGGGCTCAGTAGGCGAGTCCCCGCCCGTGTCCGGCGTTGACGGTGGCTTGTATCCTCAGCCTCATCAGGAACCGGCAGCTGCAGCGGCTGGACGTGGGCTCCGGGAAGACCCCAGTTTTCACCAACAACATCCCGAAGAGCGGCTTTGTCCTCACCCCCACGGGGCCCCTCTCCCGGCGGCTCCGGCAGGTGAGTCTGGCGAGGCTTCCAGGAGGAGGGGCCAGATCCCAGGCCAGTGATGGGGGCGGGGAGGATCCCCAGCAAAGCCCCCCAACCCGGGGCCACAGGCTCAGCTCAGGAGTGGGCTCCGTCCCGTCTCGGGTGAGCCGGCCCTGCGTGTCACAAGCGTCCCTCAGGCCACTGGACAGACGGACTCAGAGACCCCAGACCCAGGCCCTGGGGAAGGCCCCGGGCTACCCTGGACAGACCCGCCCTCGCCCCTCAGAAACACCGCCCCCTGCAGGGAGGAGAGGCCAGGGGTCAGCGCTTCCCGCTGAGCCCAGGCTGCAAACGGAAACCACGGAGGGTGGGCATGTTTTGGTGCCATGAGTTGTATTTTGTAGGAAGAACTAAGCTCCCTGCCCTGTATCGGCCATCCTGTCCCCCACATGCCTTCACAAAAGGCAGCGCATTGAAGAGACACTCACTCTTTCTTCAAAGCCAGCGTCACCCCATCCATCCTGTTCCCCGCCCGCGAGGCACTGACGGGGTGTTACCGCTCGGGAGCTGTGCCGGGGCTGGGGCCCAGCTGGGAACCACCCAGACACCCTTCCCCCCAGCAGAGCCCAGAGCCCAGCGCAGGGCCACGCCTGCTGTGCCTGCACCCGATCCGCTGCTTAACATGCGGGCTCTGACTCAGGAGGTCTGGGGGCCCCGAGCCTGCTGTCTGCAAGCCCCTCGGAGCACCCCTGAGAGACGAGGCAGTGGGAACCACAGGCCGTGAAATCGGGGTTTCCAGAAAGCGGGGTGCGATGGCAGAGGGGCCATGGGCTGTGGGGCCTGCAGAGGGGCCGTGACCCGGGGCTGGGCCAGGGCAGCCCTCCCAGAGGGAAATGCAAGGGGACCGTGGAGGCAGGGA